TTATATCAAGAGACTGAAAATATTGTTGTAGGGATTACAAAACTCAAGAATATCAGGGAGTTTGGATAAATATTATTGATCTTAAAAATAGGTTGAGCAATACAACAAGTTTTAGGATTGAAGGTAGAAAAGAAATGAAAACAAAAAGAATTCAGCTGATGATTAAAGGTTTACACGTTAGAAGAGAGAATGAAAGCAGTTCTTTTGGAAAAATAAATGTTACAATTATGGAATAAAAATTTTTAAAATTGTTTCTTATGTATAGATCTGGTTCTCTAAATTCGTTGCAAACTCTACAGTAGAACTAGAGGGCGGAAACTTGTCTTTGGTACCTTCCTACTTACTTCATTGATGACTGAGTGATTAAATAACCTGTATTTACAAGGTGTTCAATTATTGAGCTTCTTATGAATCCTCAATTGCACCTTAAAACTATGCACGAAAATGTTACTGAATTTCATAGAGCACCTATCGAATGACCAATAAACCTATCTCCAATCGAGCAGATGAACGGATGATTACATATTGAAATGATCATATGCAGCTGTTTGTCATTTATGTTGTTGGCGGACTTAGGCCGACTTGAGCAAACCAACATTCGAGTTAGTATGAAAAAGTTCTTTAGATGGAGTTTGAAATCCTCCGTTTTAAGATATCTACGAATGCATCACTTTTTTAACCAATCGTCACACAAAGCATCATTGACAGAAAGAATTCTGGTTCTTTCAGGAAGTTGAATTTCAAATTCTTGTCAACATAGCTTGTTAGATATTCATTTGCAGTTAGTAATTTTCAGGAACCATAGTTCTTCATCTATAAAATTCAGGCTTCAAATTGGTCAGATTCGTGTGAAAATAGAGATAAATAAATAACTTTTTCCAGTGGTAAAAACTCAGCTATGGAATATCACAAGTTAACACTTTTTTAATGTTCGCCGTAGGCAGATAAACCATGAAAAAGTTCTACAGCTATATTTCTTTTGATTTTTTGTCAATTATTTCACTAAATTGTTGTTATTATCATCGGATATATTATCGTTCGCACAGTGATTGGATACATTTTGGAATGAACTAACCAAAAAACGACCTCTTTGCTTAACTACTCTTTCTTGTTTTGTCTCCATGAAAGTATCATCACAAAATACAATGCTATGTCAAATCAATAAGTTCGTTGAGTACACCATAGCTTAGTCAATGGAGTTCTTCTAACTCTATTGCTAACTAAATAACATACTGCTGAATACCCTTTAATGATCACTCAATCATTAATTCAATAATACCTAAATTTTTACATGTCGTTAAAAAAGATCCGTTTTTAGACGATCTAGCCGGCAAAGTTTGAACAGAACGTTGTATCATATATATGTAATGTCTTCCTTGTAAGTTGTATAAATGTTTACATTTTATCAGTATAAACAATGAAATAAATAAATTAAGTCATTTCTTATCATTTGTTGAATACATAGTTTATCATTATTCATCTAAAGTAATAAATATATACGATAATTTCATTCTGATAAGAAATATTATAATATTCATGTTTACATTGATCCGTCATTAAATAATAACCGATGTCATATTTGCCTCATGTTCTTTTTTTAGTGCTAATCAATTTCTATCTAACAAACCATAATATTATTTGCTTATAAATAATAAATGTATAAAAAATCCTGGAATAGTTTTGGAAAAATCTCTATAAAACAGGGGGGATGGGGTTCTTATTCCTTGTACAACATTAACATCAAAATATATTGCTTTAAAGCTGATTATATGATTTCATTTAACAATTGTATAACATAGAAAAACCTTCTATATTGAATATTTAAATAACTTAGTTAACATTGTTGTAATAATTTAAACAATTCGAATAAATGAATGTTTAGTTTATATTAAAACATAAAACATACAAAATATCAGTAATATAAAATAATTAAGTTTAAATGTTCATATCAATAGTATTAAGTAAAACACTAGAATTTTTTTTATTTCGAAAAAAATGTTAATTTTTATTAGTTAGATTCATTAATCAATTGAAGCTAGACCACCATAGAAAACCTGAAAGCACTGGATGGCTGTCACGTCCTAGAATAGGACACTTCAGTAATGTGCATCCATGATCCTACAATCGGGACTCGAAACAAGGAACTGCTGAGGATTCACATACTAGGGCGAAACGGCCGTTCAGTTCTTCAATGATTTCCATGGTGGTCTAACTTTGATCGATTCATGAGTTCAACTGTTAAAATTTACTATAATCTCCAAAAAAACCATTCTCATAATTACAATTTTATTCAGTTTTCAGTGAACATGTTTAATAAAGAGAAATTTTCAGCTATATATATATATATATATATATATATATATATATTAAAGTTAAAGAAACCTTTTTCTAAACTGTTTCATTCAAGATCATCAAAATGATATAAAGTATTTGATGAATTGAATATTTTATCTGAAAGGAGGTTTGTGAATATTATAGTAATTTTAATAGTTGAGTTCATGAGTCAATCGAAACTAGACCACCATAGAAAACATGTAAGCACTGGATGGTCTGTAGTGCCGTACTTTGCTAATCGTTCACCCCGATAACCGTTATAATACAAATCTTAACGGTGTATAAAATCAGAAAGCAAAGAGAAGTGGCAGCTACAGTTTTATTGACAAATGACTCAGGCCAGAAAGTTATAAGCACATGAGTAAATATCAGTGAGCGAAACAAAATTGACACGCATTGGAGATGGCAGGTTTTAATACTTGATCATTAGACCAATGAGTTAGAATTTGAAAGTTTACATTTCCTTAAAACCAATTAATAGTATGACTGTCATCAATGATAAATATCTAATTAAATTCATTAGTTATGGCTTCTCATTAGAGCTTTGAGGCGAATTTATAAGGTTTTAATCTGAGTTTATAACTCAGCTGAAGAGAAGTTAATTATCACCAGCGAATTCGAATAATCGTTACGTTATAATCACGAACTGACCAAGCATAAAAATATCATCTGTTGTATTCTATTCTACGATACACAGTGACTTTGATTTCGATTAGTGGACCTTTTTAAATTTTCTCTGATGTAGGTTAGCGAATGTGTCATTGCTGAAAAGTCGTAAACTAAGAGGAAGCTGTTGTTCATTGGTTTTTACCTTTTCACAAACAGATGTTTGTTTATGATAGAAAAAACTTCAAATTTAAGAAATCCATACAGAATGTATGTACAAATCATCCAACCATCCGTTGAAATTATATTTCATTATAAGATGGTCACATTTTTTATAAACAATGTACAATACTGAGCAAGATAATTGACAATCTCAACATGAGTATGAATTAATTTTGATTTTTTATGCATATTTATCTTAGATAATACTTTTGATTAGAACAAATTTTGGCTAAACTCTAATTTATGGACTAACCAATCAGACTTAAGATGGAGAGTCTTTAATTTTGGTGCAAAATTTATTCATTCGTTCGGCTAAATAGCATTTTAACATTAAAGCCATTAATAATAATAATAATAATAATAATAATAATAATGTCAGTTCGTGATGGAAACCCTAATTTTATTTCCCTAACCCCACCTTCTAACATTAAATCTCAATTTTAATTGCTCACACTAATTCATAACCCTGTGTAGACCCTAATAGTCAAGTGAGACTTCTCAATGCCACGTTAACGTATCACGAAGGTCGCCCAAAAGTTATGGTCCCACCCAAATTTCTCTGTACATCTACCGGCGTTTATTTTAGTGACCCTTATTTTAAAGAAGCATTCTAATTTAAATTTGTGATTTTTATTACTTATTGACATCAAAGAACTATTATGAATCAAAGAGCATAAGAATGATTTATTACTATTGTGTATACATGATCTCTTTGAAATCAAACATAGTAGCAACCACAATATCATAGAACCTGTAAATCGGAATTACATAGTTCATATTTTTAACTTCTGTTAACTATCTATAACAGTATTTTTGTACAGTGTGATACATTAGTAAAATACCACTTGATTTCCATTCGTTATCCATGATTATTGGTGAGTACCAAAATATGCCTCTTTCATAGGTTAATCTCCTACTTCATACAACCTTTGTCAACATAGAATATGACATAGTCCTAATTTATTAAAGCTTTTTAGCAACCATCAAAGAATGTTTCAGATATACTTCTCTGCTTATAAACACAAACTATTATTTTAGGACTAGTCTGATCACATAGAGTAAAATTGTTGAACGTATTAATCCCTTCACTTATATCGCATTTCTTATCAAATTCATTGAACAAAAGTAACTGAGAAAATCTCAACACTTAAACAAAATTATATATCAGTTCTTGATAATTATGTTCATCATCTGTAACATAGTCAGAATATGCTTCCATTCAAAGACAGATAATATTATCCCAATTTATTGATCTTTTTTCTTTCACCTTGCTTTTATGAGATGTAATAACTTGAACCATAGTACCATTATACTTAATTTTAAGTTGCACTTGTTTAACTGATTGAATGATTTTTTTATAGTTAAAATCATGAATCAATTGAAGCTAGACCAACATGGAAAACCTGGAAGCAGTGGAAGCCATTGCGTCCTAGTATGGGACTTAATAGTACGCATTCACGAATTCGCCTTGCGAGATTCGAAACCATGACCTATTAGTCTCGCGCGCGAGCACTTAACCACTAGACCACTGAACCGGCATTTAACGATGTTTATGATTCCAGGTTTTCCATGGTGATCTAGCTTTAATTCATGTTTTAAACTATAAAAAATTACTAAAATCTCTACAAACCTCCTTCTGATTGAATGATTATCTAATTAATATTAGTTTTTCTTCTACCAAACTAGCAATTTAGTTTCTACACTGAATGTTCAATGTTTTATCTTAGTTATAAGAATTCACACCATTATTTTTTGTAACTTTGTTTGTTTTAACAATCAATTATGAAGTTCCTCACCCGGTGTCTTTTCTTTTCGTTTTTTTGTTTAATTTTCATCAGATACATTGTCAATAAAACATTGAATATGAAAATTATTTGTTACAGGGAAAAAGAAAACGTTTATGCAATACTATAACTATTAAAAAAGATTACAATATTATTCATTATGTTAACAACTGCATTAAATTTTCTTACGGATAAACGTAAACGATTTCATCGTTCTGATACAATGCCAGCTTTTACAAATGATTCCAATTTTTTTAAATTAACTTCAGATAATCAAATTATTGAAATTGACAAACACTCAAATGTAAACAAAGGAATTAATGATCATGATAATGATGATGACAATATTAACACTACTAATACTAGTAATACTAATAACGATGGAATAACTTTTACTAATATACACAAAAGAGGTACTGATCATTATGAAGGTGAAACATTACCGGATAAAAGTATTTCTTATCGAGATGACTTACCATCATCATCATCAAGAAGTTGTACACATGAAAAACTGTTTGAAAATAATGATGCTAATGATGCAGATGATGATGATGAAGGTGGTGGTGGTGGTGATGATGATAATGAATGCAATACTAGTCTTGTAAATTTTCCTTCGTTTACATTAAATGACAAAAATTCTATAGAAAGTATAAAGATATCATGTAAAGAGCATTTATCAGTTGGTAATTTAGATAAATATCAGTTTTTAGATCTTGAAACAAATTTATATCGTCATGGTAAAAATCATTTGAATAGTTCTATTAATGAAAACATTCCACGTCGTTTATCTCATGGTTATAGTCTAAGCAATGTACAAGTTCCATTAGATAATACAAGTATAAAAAGTGATGTTTGTTCATCAGTTACTTTTTCAAGAAAGGCTTTCAATGATATACATCATAATTTTAAAGATAGAAAGATAAATGATTCATCTAAATGTAGAAAATTTGAAAGTACTAAATCATTACGTTTTCCGACTGAATTGAAAGATTCTTTTACTTTTATTTCTGGTGATTCTAATACAGAACAAACTATAGATTCTACTATGAAAGTATCAAATAAATCAAAAGTTGCTAAAATGCGTGCAAGAGCAGTTGCAAGAGTTACTAAAAATAAATTGAAACGTTCCAAAAGTAGTGCATATATGTCAAAACATTTTCAAGAATTAAATTCCGAAGATAACAACAATAACAATAATAATATAAGAAATCGTTCATCTAGTACACATCGTAATTCTGATATTCATTATAAAGAACAACATTTAACTGATAATAAAATACATTCTAATTTAATGAAAAATTGGATTGATAAAACACCTCGTATTCGTTCAGATATATCACCTCAAAATATTACAAATACTACTAATAATAATACTAATAATAGTAATATATATGAAATAACAAATATGAATGAATATTTTGAAGAACTTGTTAATAAAGCTAATACTTATAAATTTCAAATTATCAATGCACAAGATTATTCTAATCCAATTAACAACATCACTAAAACTACTAATGACACTAATGATAATGACAATAATAATAATGATAATATTACCATGACAACTGATAATTATATTGCAAAAATGTTATTCAGTCGTAATTACAATTCAACATTACATAATAATAATACTACTTATAATAAATTAAATCGTTATTCAGTAGTAAAAAAATTACGTCGAAATAATTCTAGTATAACATATTCTAATGATCAATTAACATTATTATCAAATAATAATGATCATACAATGATTACAACAAATTCAACAGCTGGTGATTTATTACTTCCATTAACTAATAATAATAATAATAATAATGACGTAATGAAAAATTTAATTGATCAATTTTTTCTAATGATTAAATATAATAATTATAATCAATTTTTTAAATTATATAATCAATATAAAAAATTATCTAATAAACAATTAAAACAAATTCATATAGCAACTAATCAATTTGGTTTTACATTATTAGATTGTACACAATTTAATTCATCTTTATTATTATATTCATATTTATTAATATGTGAATTTTTACCAGGTCCTTATTTTCAATCAATTTTATATTGTCATCCAAAATATTATTCATTATATAAATTTAATAAAATTAATCAATATTTAGAAAATTTATTAGATGAAAAAGAAATTCAATTAAATAAATGTAAATTAGATACAAATAATACAATTACATTAATGAATCAATTAAATATAATCGATAATAATCAGAACAAATATAATAATACTAATAATAATACTAATAATAATAATAATACTAATATTAGTAATAATAATAGTATTATTAATAATAATAATAATGAACAATTAAATAATACAAAAATATTCGCAGAAATTTCTAGTAAAGAAAAACAATTACAATTATTAATTGATGAATATGATTATTTAATGAAGCTTATTTATAATTATAATAAATTACCTAATTATACTAAATCACCTCATAAAGTGAATATATTTTTATATTCATCTAATTCTATATTAATTCGTATAAGTCCACCTAAAATCAATAAATTTAATAATAATAATAATCATAATAAGAATGATGATTATAATGATGATGATAATGATCATGATCATGAATTAGATCATAGTTCATATGATACTACTGATAATGAATTGAATCAAGATTTTTTAAATGAAGGACGTAAAATGAATGATATCAATCATATTTCTAATGATAATTTAATATTACGTTATTGTATAGAATGGTCAACATGTCCAAAATTTTCTAATACAAATGAATTATATCATTGTATAGTAATACCACCAATACGTATGATTAAACCAAATTTAAATAAAATCAAACAAAATCAATTGAATATATTACGTGTAGGTTTTTATTATTTAAATAATTTACCAGAAAATAAAATGATATTTATACGTGTTTATGCATTTTCTATAAAAGGATGGTCAGAACCATGTTATTCTAATCCCAATGGTATTATATTATCATCATGGATACATAATAAATTATGTGAACAATATCAAACTATAATACAACATGATAATTTACATTTATCATATACAAAATATGTTGATTGTTCATTAAATAAACAAATTGATATATTAAAAAATGATTTATTTAAACAACTTTCTACATGGACAAATAATTTATCTATCCATTCGAATACTACTTATAATAATAATAATCCAATCAATATGATAGATGAAACAAATAAAAGAACAAGATCACCATTATTACAAAGAAAACGTTCATTTAGATTTCCTTTCAGTAATAAAGGCTTAAAATTTGTTAAACAAACTAAATCTGGTGTTTATTTAGCTTTAATATACCATACACCAATACATCCAATGACATCTACTACTAATGATAAATTAAATTATAAATCTAAAATTTTATTAACTGATGATTATATACCAATAATTAATATATCACGTGATGATTATACTAATGAATCTATTATAAATTCTGATTTTAATTGGTTTTCTCGCTTAGTATCTGATTCATTAATAGATATAGATTTACAATTATTATATGATAATCATATAACTAATACATCATTACCAACAAATTTACAATTACGTGTACGTTTATTAGAAATAATACAAAGATTAAAATTATTATTTAATTTATCTAATCTTGGTATTGTCTATCCAGAAATAATACGTACACAATTAATTGATCCAAATTTAATTAATTTAAAATTAATAAAAAATGAAACTTTTGATCTACAAGATCAAATATCTACATTAAAATTATCAATAGAAACAAATGATTCAATAAATTCAAATACAAATTATGATAATCATTTAAAATTAACATCCACTTATTTATTTATATTACTTAAACAAATTAATAATCCTAATGATATAATATTAACAAATAATTTAAAATGGTGTAATTTTGATAAATTTTTAAAACAAAATAAAATTAAATTAAAAAATAATTTTTTTCAATTTAATTCAAATACTGAATTTATTAATTATAGTAGTATAATGATAAATATGACAAAAAATTTATTATTACCAACTATTTATTCACATTTATTAACTACACGTGATAATCAAATTTATATATTACCTGAATCACAACTTATTATTAATTTAGATATATTATTAAATTATTCAATAAAACATAATAATCTATTAAAACCAGGTTTATATATTGTATTATTACAAATGAAAGCTAATATAGATCAACAAGCAACAATATTAATATCAAATACATTATCAATTATACATATGTTACCATGTGAAAAAATTCGTACACGATCTCATGTTAGTTATAATGAATGGTATAGTTTATGTAAATTAATTAATAAAACTAATGAAAAATTAGAAAATAATTTTTTTAATTTAAACTATAATGAAAAATATTTTATAATAAAATTTATAAAAGCCATAATGAAATTATCTAATCGTTTATGTTATCCTATAAATCATTTGAAAATGTTTCGTATATTTTTACCAGAAATAATAAAAATTTCACCAGTACATTCATTTATTATATTATTACCTCCTATAGATCAAGTATGTTTACCACCAACATCAATAATATTACCATCATCATTAACACCACCAAATTGTTCATGGATATCAATGACATATTTTGAAAGAAATTTAGGTATTAATTATGATTCATTATTTTATAATCCAATACATTATTTAATATCATTATTAGAATTATTAATACCATTATCACAATTTATTCAAAGACAATGTTTAAATGAATTAGATTTAATACAAATAACTGAACGTACACAATCATTACAAATGATTCAAACAAATTTAGAAAATCTTTATCAATCAAAAAGATGGTTAAGTGATACAATATCAATTGGACGTGATCGTAAAAAAATGTATAATTTTCATATTACTATAGAACAAATTATAAATGAATATAATGAAATTTTAAAACCATATTTAATTAAATCAAATAATGAAACATTAACTAATGAAACAATAAACTTTAATGTATTATTACATAATAATGAATCTACTGGGTTGAATAATGAAAAAACAGTAAAACCTAGATCATCATCTGTACATAGTGAATTATTTGATATTGTAGCTGTTTCTAAACGAATAGATAGAAGTACATTACCTTGTTCTCCAACTGAACCAAAACATATTGGAAAGAATTCAGTAATACATGTTTATACAGATTATCCAACAGGATTAAATCCTGGAGTATCAGTACGCCTTCTAATCAATATCCGTACAACAGTTGGTGAAGTAATTGATACTGTAGTAAAACAATTGTTAGAAACTGCGGATAGGAAAATTTTTACAACAGCAGAAAATAATGATTCACCAACCGCTTTATGTTCTTTTGACTTTACTCGAAATAATGTAAAACATAATTTAGAAAATCATTTATTTTGTTTAACTGTATCTGTTGGTCAACTTGAACGTTGTTTACCAAATACTGTACGTTTAGCTTTACTTAGAAGACCATGGAAGTTTGGAAAATTAACAGTTCGTTTTCTTAATGATTTACCAGAAAATATTCGACATCAAATAACTTTAAATCCTGTTGAATCTAAACATTCTGGTTTATCGAATCAAATTGTATCTCCTTTACTGACAGTTACTCTTGTTGAACCTAATTTAAAACAGGCTAATATTAATTCACCTCCAAAGATTCTACACTAAATATTTTCAATTCATATTTAATAAGCTAAAACAAAATTACGATTTACAGTTTATAAATATACATATATTTGTAAAAGCCACCTTACAGTCAATTGACTAACTTCTATTTCAGGGGATATAATTATATTTCACAATTGAATGTATATTAAAGTATTCAATGACAGAAATCCTTCAACATTTCAATGTAAACAACAATCAGTTAACATCTAGACTATAACCTACTTATCCTTTAGTCTTTCTTATTGATAATAACAGTAATAATGCGTCTTCTTTTTTCTCTTTTTCTGCCTACCTATTCTAAGTTCTGTTCTCTGTATAGAAGCTTTCTCTTGGTAAAAAAAAATAAAGGTAAATAAAAATTTACAAAACAGGATTGTAATAATTCATCTCTATTAATTGTACTGTTTAATTTTTTTGCTTGTAAAATATATTAACCTCAATATTGAATTTGCAACGTCAGTTGTATAGTTCGTTCTTCTTTCTATATACACTTATAGGGTATATTATTTGAATTAGTCAAATATACAATGTAGGATACCAGCTTCTGTGATTAATAGTCATTTGGTCAGCATCAAGTGTAAGTGATCTTCCTATAAGAGCTATGATGTACGATGTAGGAAATAGAAGAAAATCATTCTCAGCTAAAGCTCAGTAAGATCGTGTTGAAACAGAAGACTTAATATTAAACTTAATCATCAACATAATCGAATGAATCGTTTATAACATTATTTATTGAAAGAACATTATCGTGGGTGGTTGTATTGTCAATAATTGGAAAGGTGGATGAATCGTAAAGTAAGTGAATGTTTCATAATATTCATTTTCAGTGGGGATCGGTTTATCAATAACGATTATGGTATATACTCGTTAAAACCTGACGTTCTATAAGTAGAAAAGCACGACTGAAAGGCTCATCAATGAAGATTCTAGAGAGTCTGCCAACGTCTTTATAAACCAGTTCATATGGTTGTTAAGTATTCAACGATAAAGTGAAGTGATTTGATGCCCAGAGGTTTAATCTACATCGTAAATAACAGAAGACTTTTATAAGACATAGCCTAGCAAGATCATGCAGAATTATTAGCACTCATAATCTAAAATGTGGTTCATCCTAATTAAATAGTATGTAAAACAAGGAAGGATGAAAACTTCAAGGACTAACTTTCTACTTAGACGCATCATCAACTTTGAAAAAAAAGGAAACTTAATTTAAGTCTAAATTTTTATTGGAACTATGCAACATTTAAGACATCGTATAACTAATTTATATTGACAAACTCTTTATATTGAACTAGTTAACAAATGTTCATGGGTCAAGTAGAACTTTAATGGAAATAAAGCGAAAACAGGTGGTGAAAGTCAAAATTACGTCTCTAAACGCCAATGAAATGTATTTAATGGATTTACTGGGCTTTTTAATTTGTCGAGAATTAATAGTCAATTTTTTTGTCAAAAGGTAGATTGAGTTAATTACAATGACTAATATATAAAGAGATTAGCATTCATCAGAGTCCTTTCACATGTTATTAATTTTCTTATTATGCGTTTTCCCATAGAATTCATAATATTTCTGTGGAGACTCCCTGGAGGTGCTTAAAAATCATTTTATTAAATGATCTGAGGACGATGTAAATAAAATTCCCGACAATTTCAGACACAATAATAACTACTGTTCATTACGTTAGCAATGGAATGATTTAGTTATAAGCTAAAGAAAAATGGAATAATTTTATACTGCTATTTACAGGCTAATTAATGTACATTAATTCACAGATACTCCGACTGCAGCTCTTTTAGAGTTACTGCCGGTCCCAAGCCTGGGTAAAGGAGGAGGGTTGGGCATGGGGTTACCGACCCCATCCTGTATAGAAAAACTAACTCGCTAAAAGGACGCTAACCAGAAAAAAATAATTTAGACCATTGGAACTCTGCCCTGGGAGTTGAAGGGATAAACACATATGAAAAAGATGAATAACAACTAGAAAGAACTGGAAAAGATTGCCCATGACAGAGTTGGGTGGCGAATGATGGTAGGCGGCCTATGCTCCTCCACGAGGGGTAACAGGCATAAGTAAGTAAGTAATTCACAGATACAGTCTACATCGGGAAGAGGTTTTTTTATAACTTGGTTTTCATACTGTGGAATATTCATTGCATTGTAGAACAATAGAGAGTTCTTCATAAATTTTAAACATAACTTCTACTAAGTTCTTCATTAAATACAAGCTATATTTTACCACATCCTAAATTTCACTCAAAAACTGATGACCCCACTAACTCGAATCTGATTAATTCGTCATCAATGTATAGTTTTATCATAAAGTGTAAAGTTCTGATATTTGTTGCGGTTTTAACAACAAAAGACCATATCTGCATATGTGTACCATTTAAAGGTGAATCGGATAACATTATTTTGAAACGAAAACTTCGATTGAATGTGAATATAACCTATAACCCACCAAAGGCAAATTTAATTGGAATGTGAGAATTCATGATGTACCAATAATATAAGCACCATATAAACAATTGCACCTCAACCAACTGCAGTTATTATTTTGAATTATCATGGACACACAGGAATAAATAATTGTTATATCCATTCTAGATTTGTTAAACATTTTATTCAGTGGTTCCGAAGGCGAAGAAACCCGAAAATTCCTTAAGATCTGATGATAAACATAAATCCTTTAAGCAAAGGTGAATAGTGGCTAGCAGTGGGATCCAGGACGGGCGTTTCGCCCTATTTGGGACTCGTCAGCTGGATGTACGTGCATCTCAGAGACTGACCAGTTGCAGTCCTAAACATCAATGGAAAGATTCAAACGAACAACACTAAGTGAACATCAACTTCACCCCATTGCACAAACAAGTGGCTATCAGGACTCAGTAGCTAAGTGGATAACGCGATGGCGTTTGAAGCGAATGGTACTGGGTTCGAGTCCCAGAGTGAACATCAACTATGAGATGCAGGTAAATCCAGGTGACGAGTCGCAAATAGGACGAAACGCGCGTCCTGGATTCCACTTTTGCCACCATCCATCTTTGCTTATCTTGCTTGTGAATTAAGGCAAAATCGAGTCAATACGCACAGTATGCACATATGCCAATGCGAGACTGACCAGTTGCAGTCCTAAGCATCAATGAGAAGATTCAAACAAACAATACTAAGTGAATAAATCGTTTATTTCGAAGCATTTATTAAGAATACATCATACGGCTAATTTAAAAACGGCTTTTATAGTTAAATATGGAGAGTGATTAAAGATGAACACTTGAATTTACTGAAATGTTCTACGACTTTCCCAATATTAGTTATTTTGTACGCTTTAGTTACATGTTTATACTTGTCTATCCGTCTGTTTGCGATCATTGAAATTAGAATTATCTCACGAAATGAAATAACTTTACAAATCGATGTTAGTTAGCGTAATCTACTATACAATATTATAGATATATTTACGATTTATCAATGGTTTTAATTTTACACTATCGTATGAATCTTCTCAGTCATTTAATATTGTTATATCTTCACTTTTAACATTTTCCATAGGAATAAACGTATTTCAGAAGACTATGAATGTTGCTTTATCCTAGAGTCTAAATTTTAAAGATCGACTGTTTGCGGTAAACACAATGGATGTAATGTTGTGATATTCCTTTCTTTAATCATATTAACTATTGATCATACCGATTATTTTTTAGAAATCTCGAACTCTATTGTTCATGGATTATTTCAATAAAACAATAATGCATCTAAAAGAAAACTATTGTATTTATTTCTTGGACAAACATGAAGATAATATTTTCGAACAGAAATATAGTTGCACCTATAGAACGAAAAAAATCTGCATTTTACGATAAGAGTGTTGTACAAAGACAAGGTTGAAACAACTATGACAAATTTTAGCCATCTGTTAGTCTATCAGAAAACAACTTTTGTAAATAAATAATTTAGTTATTATAAACAGTTATACTACAAAGAGTAAACACATTTTACAAATTTTACATAACTAATGAATCTGTTGAGGTCCCCTACAATTTACTCTGTAACCAGAAGAACATAAATCCGTCTATATGGATGTAGCTTATCCGTCTTCTCTAGCCTTTGTAAGAACAAATAGATTTTTAGTAAACCCCATACTGTTAGTGGTAAGGGAATTGGAGTTAGAGCTTGGGTTAGACATATGTGGTCAAGATTAGGAGTTACGTATACACGTTAAAATTAAAAGCTTACAGTTATTAAGGGCTTAATTTTAAGATTTAAGAATAGGATTGGTTTGTGGGTTATGTATAACTCACATAAGTAATAGGTACTTGATACGTTTAGCACAATCACGTATGCTCTGTAATAGAAGAAACTACATTTTGTCATTATTTGCATTGTGTAATATAAGACTTATTCTTTTTTGAATTTACTGCAAAAACTCAAAAGCTGTTTTCGCAATTTTACTCAACTTACACTTTAACTTGCTGGTCTATATCGATATTCAGCTAATTCGAAAGGATTTGGAAGACTTAATAAACTACTAACGAATAGAATGTGAACTATAGCTGTCGATTATGTCACTAAAACAATAAATGGAAATCCTTGAATTCTTCTCTTTATTATAATCGCAGGTTGATTAAAAACTTTTATAATGAACAATAATTCCTTATAGTCATAAACGAAGTGTAGTCTAACAGTATTCCTGAGACTTAGTGAGACGTCAGATACTAACATGAAACAGTTTTCACTGTAGTTATTATGTCCTGTTCAATGTAATTAGTTCTTATCATATCTACTTACTCAGTCATCTTGATAACCTTTTTAATTATATGAGATTAATGTGAACAGTTTTGTAGTGATTTAACTCTCTAATTTAAATATTTCTATTAGGAATGAACTTCAGAACTCAAAGATTTGAAATACTTTCATCCGTTTATCCATACAATTAAACCAACTAGTACATATTTAACATTACTTAACAAAGGCTTTTAGACAGAAATTCTAGAATGTCCCCCCCCATTAAACACTTCAATGTAACATCATATGTTTATTTTATCATTTGAATTACTTGAAGAATATTGATTATTAATTCATAATAATAATTATGAATCTCTTTTCAGAGACAAAAAACATTGAACGAAAGAACAACTTCTTTTAAGCCGACTAGTAAAATATGAGAATTCAATGACCTTTAAGCTTTAACCGATGCACATAAGTAAAGTATTATGTATGATACTATATATATACCTATCGCCATTTTCCACACCTTTTCTAAACATGGAAATGTAAGCATTGATTAATTAATAATCTACCTAATAAAAATATTTCAGATTGTTGTATTATTCAATCTATTTTCATGTATTTATTAATTTTGATTTTTAAGATGGATACAATCTATTTTGTGTGTGTGTGTGTGTGTTCATCATCCAAAAATGAACAACAGCATGAAAGCAACAAAGGTAAATTATTAAG